CCTCAACCACCGTGCCTGCCCTCCCCCCCCCTCCCCCTCCGCTCCCCCCCCCCCCCCCCCCCCCCCCACTCCCCCCCCCCCCCCCACCAATCGCCCTCCCCCTCCCCCACCAATCACTCAACCCCCTCCCCCAACAAGCATTCTCTTCCTCTCTCCCCAACTCCCACCTATCCCTCTACCCCACCACTTCCCCACTGAATGCTCTCCCCTCACCTGTTCCCTCTCTCTCTCTCGCATCCACCTGATCATTCTCCCCTCTCACCCAAACTTTCTCCCCCTCTTGCCTCCCCCCACCTGATCCCTCTGGCCCTCTAAACCCTCACTGATCCCTCTCTCCTCCTGTCCCATTCCCACTCTCTCTCCCTCTCCCTCTCCCTCCTCCTCCCCCTCCCATCCTGATCCCCAGCTCTACTCCTTCCCATATCTCCTTCTCACCCCTCCCCCTGTCTCCCCCAACCTATCTCCACACCTACTCTCTCCCCTCTCTCTCCTCCCTGCCTTTACCCCTCCTCAGAGAAAATAAAAAATTCATCTTCAACTCTGTCTTCAATAGGAGACCCCCTATTCTGAAACTGTGCCCACCTCCCACTCCACGTCATTCTTGAGTCCAACCACAAGGGGGCACACTCTTGCAACAGAGATAGTAGGAACTGCAGATGCTGGAGAATCTGAGATAACAAGGTGTAGAGCTGGATGAACACAGCAGGCCAAACAGCATCAGAGGAGCAGGAAGGCTGATGTTTTGGGCCTAGACCCTTCTTCTGAAAAGGGCAGATCGTACCATACAAAGTGCATCAGGGTAGCAGAACAGAGTGCAGAATACAGTGTTACAGCTGCACAGAAGGTGCAGAGAGAGAGATTACAGCTGCAAAGAAGGTGCAGAGAGAGAGATTACAACTGCACAGAAGGTGCAGAGAGAGAGATCAGAATGAACATTTGAGATGTCCATTCAAAAGTCTGATAACAGCTGGGAAGAAGGGTCTATCCTTTTCTGAAGAAGGGTCTCAGCCCGAAACATCAGCTTTCCTGCTCCTCTGATGCTGCTTGGCCTGCTGTGTTCATCCAGCTCTACACCTTGTTATCTCACACCCTTGCAACACCCTTATTACAGTCCCCTCAGATCTTAAAGGTTCCATCAGGCTCTTCTCCTTCCCCTAGGGTCATGGTTCTGCAGGGGTTAATGCTCATGTCTTATTGTTTCTACCCACAGTGCTGGTATCACACCAGTGCTGGTACAGCCAGGCCATTTTAATGGAGTTTTCAGAGGGACCACACAGATCTGTACCAGCTCCATAAGGTTCTACCCATTCAGCTTGATTAAAAGAGGTTGTATTTATTGCTATCATACAATAAAACTTGTTGCTGTTTAAGAACAGGCTCTTCTATAGATACTGTGTGATGGTGTATCCTCTGCCAATAATCACCAGATAGATCTGAGAGCAGTAACCAGTACAGTGAGTGGTGGCTGATTCAAGAACAGCTTCTTCCCCGCTCTTATCAGACTTTTGAATGGACCTCTCAAATGTTAATTCTGATTTCTCTCTCTGCACCTTCTGTGCAGCTGTAACACTGTGTTCTGCACTCTGTTCTGCTACCCTGATGCACTTTGTATGGTACAATCTGCCTGCATAGCACACAAAACAACACTTTTCACTGTATCTCGGTACACGTGACAATAATAAATCAAACTCTAACTCAGTAACCAGCTCAAATATGTGTGTCCATAAGGACCCTCACCAATATTCATAGATGCACCACAGAAAGTATTCTATCTGGGTGTATCACAGCTTGGTACAGCAACTGTCCAGGACTGTAAGAAACTACGGGGAGTTGTGAACACAGCCCAGTCATAAGCCAACCTCCCATCCATGGACTCCATCTACACTTTTTGCTGCCTCAGAAAGGCAGTCAACATCACCAAAGGCCCCCCTCACCCCCGTTATAATCTCTTCCAACTTTTTCCATCAGGCAGGAGATACAAAAGCTTAAACACATGCACCAACAGGTTCAAGAACAGATTCCTCCCTGCTGTTATTAGACTGCTCAATGGACCTCTCAAATTTTAAATTTAATGATCTCGCTCTTTGTGCACCCTCTCTGCAGCCATAACATTGTATTCCTCGCTGTGTTCTATTACCCTGTGATCTTTGTATGGTATGGTCTGCCTGTACTGCAAGCAAAACAAAACTTTTCACTGCACTTAGGTCCACGTAACAACAATAAATCAAACCAATTTACCCTAACCCAGTGTCAAAAACAAATACCACAAGGTGTCAGCAGGGAAAAATATTGCATACCCCTCAGCTCCCTCTTCCTCCTGTTCCTGAGAATGGTTCCAGGGAGTGAGGGATTTCAGTGTTGAAGACAGACTGTGTACTTTTCGGGAGAGGAGGCTGAGAATTGATCTAGTTGAAGCTTTCATAAAACACATAAAATGATGGAGCATGCACAGATTTAAAATAATTCACAAAAGAGGCAGAAGTGACCTGAGAAAAACTGCTGTCACAGCCTGAGAGTG